GTGTGTGTGTGTGTGTGTGTATGTGTGTGTATGTGTATGTGTGTGTGTGTGTGTGTACTCACGAGCATCCCAGCCTCATGGTAGCCTCTATCCTCTGTGAGTGCGGCACGTGCGTCATCTCCCCCTCCATGGCGATCATCTGTGTCTGGAAGTACTGGACCTTTCTGGCCACACAAGGCTCAAAGTCTGCACGTGCCTGTCGCTCACACTCCTCGTTGTTCTGGAGGTCTGGTAGAAGGGAAACAAAAGATTCTTCTAATTAGTCTATAATTAGCCTGTATCACCTTTAAAAAGTTAAAGAAAGTCAAACCCCTAGAAAATTCCTCGTATCGAGTACATAACCCCTTAATGCAGGCTTCAACATAAGTTAAGGACCACCTTGACAGACAGCCCTGATTTTTTTTCTTTTAATCCGAAAAAAAGATAGCAAGGAATGTTTTAGAACTGTTTGCTCAGAAGGTGTTAATGGGTTACCAATGCGTACTGCAAAGCTTCCAAAAGAGGCAAAACCACAACGTTCTGCACGGAAATCCTCTGGGAATTTTAGCCAAAAATTTTGTTTTTTTATCGACTTGTGTGCGACACCACAGACATTCCTCAGTTAAAATTTCTGGTGCTCGTGATAAACGGACGTATAGTCTCGAACTGTGCTCACTTTGGTGGCAATATAAGCCGTCGTTTGCGCAAAATCCAGAATCGCATCAACATGTCACCAAGACGAAAGCTAAGAGACTTTGATCATCGTGCCAGGCCTATGGCATGGCTGCAGGATGGAGTTGGAGCGCGAGCAGTTGCCAGAAGGCTTGGAGTGTCACATTCTGTCATTGTCAGCCTGAGGCAGCGCCATTAAGCCACTGGATCAGTCCAAGACCGCCCACGTGCAGGTCGACCCAGGAAGACCACTCAGAGTGTTTGCAAGTGGTCCTTAACTTATGTGGAAGCCTGTATGTGAGTCTTACTTACTGACTTTACTCTATCCGTCCTCTTGTACCTCTAGGGCGTCGAGGGGAGAAAGAGCTCCCTGTCTCTAGCTAGTTTGATGGCCTTGCTGGGTCGGATATTGTATTATGTTCTCAGGGTATCCTTCACACCCTGGATCCAGGTCTTCCTTGGTCTTCCTCTTGCCTTGTACCCTGATACTTTTCTGTAGTAGGCTCTGCTGGCGAGCAGGTGTGTATGCGTTTCATTCTTAAATCAGGCGCTCGTCAAAATAATGAAGTCAAAGAAGTCAGCATTTTTTTAATTTACCGATTGGCAATTTTTTTCTAATTTTCTTTTTTGGGCTCAGCACCTTTGATATTCATTTAAAAATACGTTTTAAAAAATGAATGCGGACTTTACTGAAAAACATTGATAAACGGCTCAAAAATGTAAATATTCAGTTTTCAAGGACTCTCAGGCTATAGAAGTTATCACACTTTGGCGGCCATGTTTTCGTTAATTTTACCCCCAAAACCAGGCGACTCTGACCTCCTTCAATCGAAAACATGTTGACTGTCATTCAATATAGATGAGTATGTTTTTCACCAAAAAGGAAGGCAAATGAACAGGCTTTAAGATGATACCAATAACCCCTTATGCCAAAAAATTTAATTGAATTGACTAGCACCTGATTTCACCATGTCGTGACTCATAATTTCTTTTCAATGTGAGTCTTTTTACC